TAAGCAGGAAAAGCCCACCAATAGGGAGACTGTGTTTGGCTTCAAAAATGGAGGGGGTATCCAGACCCTAAGTTTGCTTTCAACCCACTTCTCCAGTTCCAGGGAACATGTCTTTAAAAATAAAAATAAGCCTTTGGGGCGCCTGGGTGGCTCAGCTGATTAGGCACCCAACTCTTGGTTTTGGGCTCAGGTCATGATATCACAGTTTCGTGAGTTCAAGCCTTGTGTCAGGCTCTGTGCTGGCAGCGCGAAGCCTGCTTGGGATTCTGTTTCTGCCCCTCCCCCACTTGCGTGGGCTCCCTCTCAAAATAAATAAGCTTAAAAAACAATAAGCCCTTGTCTCTTGTTGAGAGGTGGGGGAAGTGAGGTTCTCTATTCCTCAAGTCCACAGAGACTTTGATAGAACTGGACCTCAGAGTAAGAGTCAGCAATGATCGACTGCAGTGGTAGAAAGGGTACTGAGCTGGGATTTTGAAAACTATTGGGGTTATTGGTTCAGCTATAACTATCTCATATGACTTTGAGTGGGTCTTTGCATCTCTGAGCCTCAGTTTCCTCACCTATAAAATTGGGATAAAACACGTGTCCTCCTGCAAGGATCAAATTAGGGAACACAGGTGAAAGTCATTGCCTAGCTGTAATGTCGCCATCATTGTGGCTGCAGACCCCTCGCCCGTGGGACTACTCAAAGGGGGCAGGAGGCTGGCTGAAAATCTGTCACATAAGAGCCATAAGAGAGACTGATGCAGGGGCGCCTGGGTGGCTCAGTCAGTTGAGTGTCCAACTTCAGCTCAGGTCATGATCTGATGGTTCATGAGTTCAAGTCCTGCATCAGGCTCTCTGCTGTCAGCACAGAGCCTGCTTCAGATCCTCTGTACACAACCCCCCCCCCCCCTGCCGCCTCTTCCCTGCTCACACCCTCTCTCTAAAAACTGAATAAACATTTATTTAAAGGGAAAGAGAGAGAAGAGACTGATGCAAACTTCAGAAGCAACAACAGAGTTGGAGAGCTATTGGAGAACCCCTTTGGCTGAGACAGACCAGACAACTTCGAATGTCATGATTCAGAAAAAGCTCTGTAAAGGACACTGGGCAGCCTGCCAAGGTGGGGGCACAGCTGAGGACAGTAGAGATGCACACAGGTGAAGCGTAGTGTTTACAGTCTGGTGTAAAGACACACCTCTACACAGACAAAGTTCTAGTGAAAAAAAACCAGTCTGAGGGGCCATAAAACTAGTTTCTGTCCCTTTCTATCTTCATCAATGTGTGTGATGTTGGGAAAGTCATTCTATCTCTTTCCTGGTTCTCTTGCCTGCAAAGTAGAGTAAGTAATACCTGGGCGGGGCGGGAGGGGTATATTGCACAGTACTTTAACTAGATGGTACAAAATGTTCTCATAAACTTGATCTTTTTATTTTTAATCTGCAGGTGAGGCAGAAGCAACTTTATGGTACAAATAGCGGATGACATTCATCTTGCATCATTATGTGTTGGGCATTATACCAAATATCACACATCACGATCTCACTTAATCTGCATAGCAACTCTTTGAAGTGGGAACTATCGTTATCATCTCTAGTTGATATATGAGAAAATTGAGGCTCAGAGTGGGCAAGTAAGTTGCCCACAGTCACTCAGTTAAGTGGTAAACGTGGGTTTAGAACCAAGATCTCCCAATTAGAAGTCTAGAGTTTTCCATTATGCTGAATTGCGTATCTGAAAGCACCTGGGGAAAATAAAGCTTAGAGGACTGCACAAATGAGATAAGTTTTTTTTTTTAAATGTTTTATTTATTTCTGGGGCGCCTGGGTGGCTTAGTCGGTTAAGCGTCCGACTTTCGCTTAGGTCATGATCTCACGTTCGTGGGTTCGAGCCCCGCGTCGGGCTCTGTGCTGACTGCCAGCTCAGAGCCTGGAGCCTGTTTCAGTCTGTGACTCCCTCTCTCTCTGACCCTCCCCTGCCCACGCTGTCCCTCTCTCTCCTAGAAATAATAAATAAAAAAAAAAATTTTTTTTTAATGTTTTATTTATTTCTGAGAGAGAGAGAGAGAGGCAGCATGAGCAGGGGAGGGTAGAGAGAGAGGGAGACACAGAATCAGAAGCAGGCTCCAGGCTCTGAGCTAGTTGTCAACACAGAGCCTGATGCAGGGCTCGAACCCACGAACCGTGTGATCATGACCTGAGCCGAAGTCGGATGCTTAGCCGACTGAGCCACCCAGGTGCCCCGATAAGTTTTTATTATAGCAAACCCAGGTTATCAGCCTTTTTAATTGCAGCTAAATTAGGGTGGATATTAATAACCAGAAATTTTTTGGTTATAATACTTTTTGGTTTTTGGTACTGGATAATGGCAGGAATTGTAAATTCTGAAATATTAGAGTAACATAAGAGAATGAAGACAGGACGGCTGGGGCAAAAAATGTCATTTGTTGTGGAGAAGGAATGTGGGCTTAAGGAACACGGCAAGGCTATTGTAAGCAGGTAAAGGCATGGGACCTAGACTCATTAGAATGGTGCTTTTCCTTTTTTCTTTTTTTTAAGAGTTTATTTTTAAGTAATCTCTACACCAGAGATGGGTCTCAAATTCATAACCCCAAGATCAAGAGTCACATGCTCCACTGAGCCAGCCAGGCACCCCGGTACGTTTCCTTTTAATGAAATACAAATTGTAAGGGTTTTTAGGTGAGTAAAAAAGACTCCAAGGCAAAATGTTCCGCAGGAGGAGTTTTATTGTATGCACCCTCGGGCGAAGTTCTGCGACTCCAGAGAGGGGAGTCGGGGAAGTCAAGCCACGGTTGGGTGGTGAGGGGTTTTTTTATTGCCTGTTAGTGGGGGTGGGGGAAGTCCAAATAGGGGCGGTCTCTTGGCTGGAAAGTCCAGGGCGGAAGGTTTCTTGCCTAAGTTTGTTTCCCGCTTACGTCTTAAAGGTATTGGCGGGAAAGTCAGCCATCTCAAGATGGCCGCCAATCTGTGGTGTCTTTGCCCTACCTCTCAGCCGGCCCAACATTCCAACCTTTTGTTTTATATATAGGTGGAAGGGGCGTCGATTCGGTTCCAGCTACTTCCTGCTGACGGGTGGGCGTCGTCATAGGGGTAGCCGAGGTAGGCAGGCGAGAGTAGGGGACATTTCTTGGAGACACTCCCGTAGATATCTGATGAGACAGGGGGCAACAGAGATTAGTAGTAGGATTAGGCGTAGGGGTCCCGCCAGGGGGAGGAGCCAGGTTACCCACGCACGGGGGTCTAGACCCCAGAGGTGGGAGTCCTAGCACCTCGCCTGGATCTGCTCCCTGAGTTCACAAATTTTGGATGTGACTATGCCTGATTGGTTAACGTAGTAGCAGCACTCTTCTTTCAGAGGCAGGTTCCCCCTTTCTCAGCCATCAGGAGGTCTAAAGCCCGTCTGTTTTGTAGGGCTACGGCTGCAAGACTAGTAATCTGGGTCTGTAGAGCAGTGAAGGAATCGGCGATTCGTTCCATGTCTTCATTGAGGGCCTGGAAGAGTTTGTAATAAAAATGTATAGAAGTTCCGAGGCCTGCCCCGATGAGTATGTAGGTTTTGGATTATTTGTTTGGTCTGATTGTGTTTAGCCTGGTCTTGGACACCTCCCCCGTCAGAGAGTCCTATTTGGGCGAGGTAAGTCCAGCAGACGGTTCCTGTCTTAGGGTATTGGGTGCACGGGGATTTTGTTGTCCTCTGGGCATTAAGTTCAGAGGCCCAAAAGATTTTTCCTGGGGCATGACGGGAGGTACAAATGATTGGGGTTTTTCCTTCGTAGCATGTTTTGGGCATATAGGTATAGGATTGGAAATACCTTTTTTGTCCGCTGCCACGCATACACTGGTTACATTCAGTTGCCCAGACCAGGGGGTGTAGAAGAATCAGGATTAGGAGTACGTACCAGCCGAAGTTGGGTTGGGCCCACCATCTGGGAGGTCCAGTCATCTGATTTTGGCGCCCGCTTAAGGTTATTGATGTGTACCCAGGGCTCATGCCCCAGCAATTTTGCTGCGGTCGGGGTGGTGAGGATGATGGTGTGGGGTCCTGACCACCGTGGCTGGAGGGAACCCGGTTGTAAGTCCCTAAGGAGGACCTGGTCTCCAGGGAGTAAGGTTTGGGTGGGGACCTCCTTTTCGCCATGGGTGTCTGGGGCTGGTATGACCGCGTCAGCATGGGCTCGAAAGAGGGCCCGGAGGAGGGTCAGGTAGGGCAGGTATGAAGGGAGGGGTGGAGGGGTGGCCGGGAGGTTGGGAGTTAGGAGGAATGGCCGCCCATAAAGAAGTTCGAAAGGACTTAACCCGGAGGGCCCGCGGGGAGTTGCCCTGAGTCGAGTGAGGGCGAGGGGCAGTAAAGTGAGCCAAGAGAGGCAAGTTTCTAAAGCAAGTTTAGTGAGTTGGGCCTTCAGCAGCCCGTTTGCCTTTTCTACCTTACCCGATGCCTGGGGATGGTAAGGGATGTGGAGTTTCCAGGTGATGTTAAGGGTTTCTGCCACCTGGTGAGTGACGCTGGAAATGAAGGCAGGTCCCAGGTCCGTTGTCCGACTGCAGAGTTCGGGGCAGTGCAAATCGTGGAATGATGTGTTCGATGAGGATGGTGGCCACTACATCCTCTGCCTCCCGGGCAGTGGGAAATGCTTCAATCCAGCCTGTAAATGTGTCTACCATAGTTAGTAAGTACCGAAAGGATTTGTGGCGGGGCATGTGGGTGAAGTCTAGCTGCCAATCCTCCCTGGGTTGGTGTCCACGGAGTTGGTGGCTGGGTCCTGGCCTACGGATCCCACCCTGTGTGTTGACGGTTGCACAGGTTTTGCAGGATCTGTGTACTATCTCCATAACTTTAGAGAGAGAGGGGTGATTGAAGAGGGGTTGAAGGAACTGAAAGAGAGAGCCTTTGGGCCAATGTGGAGGGACTGGTGAATTTCAGCTATTAGCATGTGGGCCAGATTGTCCGGAAGGGCGATTTTGTCTTGAATATAGATCTATCCTTTGTCTTCTGTTTTTCCTCCCAAATTTTGGAGGGTTTGTATTTCTTCTTTAGAGTAATAAGTCGCAGGTCCTGGACTAATAGGTAGGCCCCTGAGGGTTTGCGGACAGGCAAGATGGGCGTGTTGCAGGGGGAGTTGATGGGGATGAGGAGTCCCTGCTGTTTTAGGCGGGTCTATGATAGGCTTAAGGCCCCTCCAATAAGGGAACTACGCCCCGGAGGGAAACTGTGATCTGTCCCTTAACTGTATTATTACAGGAGGATGGTGAGTCCCGATGACCGGTTTAGAGGTGTCCCGTACTCTTGGATCTACTGAGGGGAGGCATTTTGGGGACGCGAGGGATGGAGTGGAGAGTAGAGGTAGGAGACATTCAGAGGTTGAAGGGGAGGGCGAAAGCCGGGTGGTAGGCTGTGATTTGTGGAGGATGTCTCTTCCCAGTAGGGGGGAGAGTGGTGGTCTGGACGACGTGTGTGTAGGTCGTGCCAGGTTAGGTCATAGGCCTGGGCCAGGTATTGAAATTCTTTGATAAAGTTATCTGGGTTGGCAGAAAAGGAACCTAGGCGCTTTTCTATTTGGGAAAGGTGTTGGAGGGAGAAGGGCGCGTGGACCCGAACAACCCCCTCGGCCCCCGCGACCTCTTACACGGGCAGACCCGGTCTGGAGAGGGGTAATGGGACCGCTGTGCGCAGAGATAGGAGGGGATGAGAGGGGGCCCCCCCTGGGGGGCAGGTTCCACCGCGATCTCCGGCTGAGGAGCTTCAGGAGCGGTGGGGGTAAGTAGGGCCGAGGTTGGAGTCGGATCGGAGGGTTGACGAGCGAGAGGTACGGGAGGCTGGGGGATGGGAGCGCGGTATAGGGGAGGCGGTAGCAAAAGAGGGGCCCTCACAGGAGGGCCAGACAAGTTTTCGGGAGGTTCGGAAAGGGGGGAGAGGACAGAGGGTTCTGGATCCTTGGGGGGTGCAGGTGGGAGAGTCGGAGAGGGGGTGCGGGCAAGAACCTGAGACATAGTGCAGCGGGAGCAAAGTGAAGGACGAGAGCGCAGGGTCCAGAAGGCTTGGACGTAGGGAACCTCAGACCATTTGCCTTGGCGTCCACAGAGGTTATCAAGGTCCATGAGAATCTGGTAGTCAAACGTGCCTTCAGGAGGCCATTGTGACTGACTGACTGTCTAATCCATACTGAGGCCAGGCAACAGTACAGTAATGTCTCAGGCGCTGCCTGCGCAGGACCTGGTCGCACTCCAAGGTTTGGAGGTTGGCCAGAAGGCAACCTAAAGGCGTTTTTGGATCAGTTTTGGACTGGGAAGTTCCCATAGCCGCCTCGCCCACCAGTTCAGATCACGGAGGAAAGCGTCCCCTCGTCCGTGTGCTGGACTGCAGATCGAGGAAGAGAGGGTAGCTGTCGCCGAATGGGGACGTCTCCGGATTCTTTGGAGCTCTGGAGGCTACCTGGTAGGCGGAGGGGGGTCGCCCAGACGCGGCCGCGGTTAGGACAGGGCACCCCGGAGAGCGCTGGGGGCTAGGGACACTCACCGCAGTCGAGAACGGCGCTCGGAGAGGCAGTCCCCGGTCCGGATAAGGAGAGGAGAGAGCTTCCTCACCGAAGTGGGAGCTCAATCTCCTCCCGGGTTTGGGCACCAAACGTAAGGCTTTTTAGGTGAGTAAAAAAGACTCCAAGGCAAAATGTTCCGCAGAAGGAGTTTTATTGTATGCATCCTCGGGCGACGTTCCGCGACTCCAGAGGGGGGTCGGGAACTCGCGCAGCGGTTGGGTGGTGAGGGTTTTTGTATAGCCTGTTAGTGGGCGTGGAGGAAGTCCAGATAAATAGGGGTGGTCTCTTGGGGTGGTCTCTTGGCTAGAAAGTACTAGGCGGAAGGTTTCGCTTTCTTTCCTAAGTTTGTTTCCCGCTGATGTCATAACAGTATTGGCGGGAAAGTCAGCCATCTTAAGAAGTCCGCCAATCTGTGGCGTCTTGGCCCTGCCTCTCAGCCGGCCCAACACAAATTTTGTTAAAATGTTGAAACATAGAGAAATAGGAAAATAAGTCAACCATGAATCCACTACCCAGAAATAACTGTTGCCAATATATTAACTATATACATTTTTCAAAGCATGTGTTATGCTGCCTCCAACCAAACAGGAACTACATAAGACAAACACGATTTGAAGAGGAAACTCTGAAGGATCTTGATAACTATCTACACCGGGGCTGATGCAATGTTATCAAGACTGGGCGTCAGCCAGGCAAAGGACCCTCGAGAAGCCAGCTGGACTCTCAGTCCCACCCTCAAAAAAGCGCGAAATAACGCCTCTATGGTTGTTCCTGTGCCGGAGCTCAAGGCTACGCTCTCTCCTTTTGCGAAACTCTATGGTCGGAGGACGCCGTTGTGCCCCGGAAGTAGTCCTAGGGGGCCGGGACGGCAAGATGGCGGCGCGAGCAGCGCTTGGTTCCATGTGCCGGCGTCTCTGGCAGGTACCTGGCGGGCGGTGGGTACTAAGCTGGCTGACAAGACAGTAGCCGTAAAGTCTTGTTGTCACCTGTCGTTTTGGCCACCTAGAATTTCCCCTGGTATTTATTCTGCACTTTGGCGCGTTGTTTGACGGAAGGTGGTGAGAAAGGGGAATTAGAAAGTCAGAGCAGGAAAGAATGTTGAACGGCATTATGTTCCGCACCTCTCTTTGCAGGTTTGCAAAATACACTGAGTCGCAGAGAAGGCTTGCTTTGGTAAAATTAGGGGCTGAATTGGAACCAGATCTTAGACCCCTCCCATGGAACCAAATTGGGATACCTTTGATTCTGAGATTAGATGAGAGTCGCGGAAGTGGTAGGAAGGGGCTAAATATTCTCTGCGCCTTTCTTTGGAGAAAAAGCAAAAATACCTTGGCAGTGAGTCTCAAGTTAGTTGGTCTCAGTATCCCTTTAACAGCCTAAAACTGGTTGAGGACGCGAGAGAGCTATTGCTTTTGGGGTTTTTAGCTCTGCATATTAAGCTTTTTAGAAATAAAACTGGGAATCTTAAAAATGCTTAATTATTTAAAAATAAGACTAAGGAGGGGCGCCTGGGTGGCTCAGACCCTTAAGCTCCTGACTCTTGATTTCAGCTCCAGCCATCGTCATCTCAAGAGTTTCTGAGTTCGTGGGGGCTCTGCACTGTGGAGCTTGCTTGGTGTTATCTCTCTCCCTCTCTCTCTCTGCCCCTTCCCTGCTCGTGCGCACATTCTCTCTTTCCCAAAAATAAATAAATAAACTTTAAAAAAATAAAGAAAACTAATGCATTACATATTTTATGGGGAAAAAATGAAATTTTTCCAGAGTTAGTGAGAAGAATAGTAGTGTTTTATATTTTTGTAAGTCTCTTGTTAACCACAAAAATAAACATTAATTTACCAGCAAAAATGAGTTTATTTGGGAATAACAAAATTGCAATTCGGGACTCGAAAGCTGTGGCAAAACCATGGCAAAACAATAGGTAAGTTCCCAAATAAAGGAAAGGATTATTTTAGAAAGGAGGAGGGAGTTAGGAGGGGCTGTTTTGAATGGAAGTGCTTAGGAGAAAAGCAAGAGTTCAGGGTGATGATGGTTTCTCATTGGCAGAGTTGCAGTGTAGTCAGTTTCTTGTAGAAGATTCACTGTGCATCTTTTCCTTTGGGGCCTGTAATTGATCATAATTTCCTGTTTCTGATTCTTCTATTAAGGTCTGTAATTGACAACTCTTCCTGTAATTGATGTTGAGTGATGTGGGTCACCCTTTTAGCCTCTGGACTGTACTGAGGTTTCCTTTAATTTTTACATTTCCTTCTTTTGATCAAAGTCTTTCTCCAGAAGCGTTGCTGATTAGGAGTCAGGTTTCCATATTTAGTGATTTTGTTCCTTCATTCCAGGAAGGACTTTTTCTGGTTGTCACGTCTTATGTCAGAGAGAAAATACAGGTTGGAAACATACTGAGGTTGGAGTGCCTGGGTCGCTCAGTTGGTTGAGCATCCAGCTTCGGCTCAGGTCATAATCTCATGGATTGTGAGTTTGAGCCCTGCATCAGGCTCTGTGCTGACAGCTCAGAGCCTGGAGCCTGCTTCTGATTCTGGATCTCCCTTTCTCTCTGACCCTCCCCTGCTCGCTCTGCCCCTCTGTCTCTCTCTCTCTCTCTCAGAAATAAATAAAACATTTTTAAAATTAATAAAAAAAAAAAAAAGAGAGATTGCTCCACCAAACATGGCTGTTTCTTATGGAAGTAATTAGGCCTTGGGGCCCCTGGGTGGCTCAGTCAGTAAAGTGTCCCTCTGTTGATTTCGACTCAGGTCATAATCTCCTGGTTCTGAGTTTGGGCCTCACATCAGGCTCTGCACTGACAGTGTAGAGCCTGTTTGCAATTCTCTCTTCTCCCTCTCTCTCTTCTCTGCCCCTCCCACCCCCAAAATAAATAAACTTTTAAAAAATATTTTTAAAAAAGAAGTAATTGGGCCTTTACAGTATGAAATAGATCTCCTTTTATCAGTTGTGGGTCAAGGAGGCAGGGGCCAGGTGCATTGTGTGTCCTGTGACTAGTTCAAAGGGCGAGAGTCTGAGTACCAAAGTGGGTGGATCCGAGATTCAGAAGGACCGAGAGCAGTGCTTTCAGCCAAGGTATTTGGAGGGTGTCTACAAAATTTTTGTCAAAACACCTGACTGGTAACATGGGCTCCCCAGTCACTATGAAGTGTAAGAGGGCTTCCCCAGGTAGGAGTAATCTTTTCTAACAGTTTAGCCACAGAAGAAACAGTGGCCTGTCCATAAGGGAAAGCTTTAGTTCAGTGAGAAACAGACAGACCATGGCTAAAATGTATTTATATCCACGAGATGAGGGAGCTGTATGAAATTTGTGCAAACGAGTGTCTTTGCATTATACTTTGGACAGGTGGGATGAGCGAGGTAGACACTGTTTACGGCCTTAGTAATATTTCCCCACGAATACGGGTTCATGACACTGTCATTTTGTCAGTAGACCAATGGTTTAATACATGTATAGTGGTAAGTCATAGGAATGTTAGAATTTCTGGTAAGACCATTATTAATTTGGTCCAAACCACAGTACTCTTTATTGAGCCAACAATTACTCGATTTCCCATATTGTTTTTCCCTCTCTGGGGCCAATTGTTGGGTATCTCTGGTTAATTTTTCCAAATTATAGTTTGGAGAAACATCCCTTTGGACCATGACAGAGGTTTGGCTGTTGATTTCCTTGAAAGTAGTGTTTTTGGTGGAAATAGTAGCAAGGTGGTTTCCTTTTGGTGCCCAGGGAGTTGAGTCTGGAATACTTGGGAACCTTAATAACAGCCAGAGCAGTCAGCCAAAGCATGGTATTGAATAAATTTTGGATATAGATGTTTTTAATTGTATCCCCGTTGGAAACTTCTGGACTGTTTCCTAACATTCCAAAATCATGGGCTACCCCAAAGGCATATTGACTGTTGTATAAATGTTTGCAGCATTACCCTTAGCTAGAATTGAAGGATAGTTAAAGGGGATCCCATGGTTATTTCTTCAGTGGGGTTACCTGAGTACAGTGGCAGGAATGGTTAGGAATGCAGAGGCTAGGGTAATATCCCCATGCCACAGGGTCTGCTTGTTGGCTATGATGCCCCATGGGTCCATGATGGTCCCCATGTTTTGGGCTGAGTATGCCAATGGTGTTTCCTTCCCCTTCACATGCAAAGAATGTAAATGGAAGTTGGTAATTAGGATGTCTGGGCCATAGACTTTATTAGGCTTTTCTTTGAAGTCCCAAAAGCTATGTCTTCTCAATTTTTCCAAATAATAGAATTAGGTTTGCCATTTCTTTTGATTTTTTTTTTTAGTAAATCATATAGAGATTGAGCCATAAAAGGAGTTTCACATCCAGATTCAACAGTAGCCATCCAGTCCGAGAAAAACTCGTAATTGGCACTTCATTTTAGGTTTGAGGAAGTTTAGGATGGCATGAAGCCTACCTGCGTCCAAATTTGGTCCTTGTTCTAAGGTCAGGTGCTCTAAGTACTGAACCAAAGTTTGAGCAACCTGCAGTTTTTCTTCAGAGACTTGATGTCCTTTTAAGGCCAAAAGCTTTAACGGGTAGGTGCTGTCTTACTGAGAGTAGATTTGAGAAGGGCAGCAGAAAAGCAAACTATCTACAGATTTAAAAAAGTAGAGCCTGCGGAAAGTTTTTGATCATCCAAATCTGTCTTTAAGGTTTGTAAAAAGTAAGGACTCTGCTGCCCTGGGGCATTATTGTGCACGGGTCTTTCCATCCTTCCCAAGTGAAAGCAGAAAAATACTGGCTAATTTTACCAACTGGAATGCTAAAAAATACACTACGTAGATCAATTACGGTGACAAATTTGCTTTCAGTGGGAATGGATGTCAGTAACCCTATGGGGGTTAGGGGCAGCAGGATGCCAAGGTATAAGAGTGTATTGCTCAGGGGTCCGGGATAAACCTCCATCCTTGGCCATTGAGTTTTCTCACGGGTAAAATAGGCGTGTTATTAGGACTAGTGCAGGGGGTAATGAGGCCCTGAGCTTTGTAATCTTCTGTTAACCAGCTTGATGCCTTGCGGGGCTTCTTTATAAAGTATTCATTAATTCTGGGGAGAAGTTTTGAAGGATCTGTTTGAATCTAGATGGAAAGTGTTCCTGTGGATTCTGCCAGTCACTTGAAGATTTTGCCCAGAAAGAGGATTTGACCCAGTAGGGACAGCATCCCCGATGCGGCTGTGGTGCTGTCGGACATGGAGCAAATAAAAGATGTCAAAAGGTCATTTAATCTCCCTGGTTGACTATTTGGAGCCCTACTGTCACCTTCTAGAATTATTTCCCTCTTTGGGGGAGAAAGAAATTCGAGCATGATGTGTTTCTAAAAAATGTCGGCAATCTGTAAATGAACAGGAACGGAGGAACCAAGGAGAGGGGTGTGTGTCCCCCAGAGGGCCTAGACTAAAGGGGACAGGTTCAGAGGCCGGAAACGGGAGAAGTGTATTAGACGCCCCACTGTTGGAACTGTTTTAGTGCTTCCAGCAGGGGCTAGCACTGGGGTCAGGCACTAAGCGTGTGGTTCTGGTGTCCGTAAGGAAAGAGAAAGATTCATTCCGGATCTGAACAGTAGTTTCTCTGAGCCAAGTAAGATGGAGGTTTGCGAAGAGCTGTGGTTCCTTGGAGCTCTGTTTTGGGAACGAGGAGGACATTGGAAAGGCTCGCGATAGAGGGCGGAAGGCAAGACAGTGACCATCTTTTTTCCAGTGTTCTGGCTCTTTGCAATAATAGCAGAAACTAGGAGGGTTTGGGTGTTGTTTAAAGGGCCTTCATTTGTTACAGTGAAAAATTAAGCATTTTAGGGGCGCATGGGTGGCTTAGTCGGTTAAGCGTCCGACTTTCGCTTAGGTCATGATCTCGCGGTTCGTGGGTTAGAGCCCCGCGTCGGGCTCTGTGCTGACTGCCAGCTCAGAGCCTGGAGCCTATTTCAGAGTCTGTGTCTCCCTCTCTCTCTGACCCTCCCCTGCTCACGCTGTCTGTCTCTCTCTCTCTCCTAGAAATAAATAAAAATATTAAAAAAAAAAAATTAAGCATTTTAGTGGTCTTTCTTTTACGTGATTCCCCTAAGGTACTAGCAAGCTGGTTTGCCAAGTTAACTAAGCAGGAGCAGACAGAGTTTGCCATTCCATCGTGGTCCTTTTAATTAAAAGAGTTAGCCCAGTTCAGCCCATTAAGAAACATAGTTAAATGCTACCCCCAATGGATTCAACATCAAACAAACAATCTGAATTTTCTTTGAAAACAATCTGAAATCAATTTTAATAGTCATGAATATGTTCGTCAGGCTTTTGTGTGCAAGCCTGAATTTTGTTCCAGTCAGCAGGCTTAGGAAAAGCTACTGTAATTGTAATTGCTCGGTGGAGATTTCCAGTGAATGTTCTAGCATCTTGCCAAAAGTTAGGGGTCTGTTTTGGGCTACTTATGGGAAACTCTTTTTAACTATGGCTCTCAATTCAGCATTACTCCAGGGAACATAAGAAGTTTGAGGGTTATTTGGATCCTCAGAAGATTTAACTTTAAAGGAGTAGATTTTAATAGGTTCAGGAGAGGAGGGAGCAGGGAGAGGCTTGGATGAAAAAGGAAGTTTGGTGAGAGAAATGGGGGAACTGAGGGTGTAGAGGGGATGGAAGCCAGCAGGACGGAAGGAGGAGGAGGTCACCACAGGTGGGGCTTGAGCATAGGTGGCTGCTACAGTCCTGGGGGCCTCAGAAGCCTTTTGGTCTTTGTCTGAGTCTAGAAATTGTATTTAGCAGAGAGCCAGTTTTAGATTTCTCGGTAATGTTTGGAAACTTTAAGATACAGGCGTCCCATTCAAGTTTGCCAAGTTTAGAGACATGGCTGTCTGGTTTAGTTTGGAGAAAAGTACGTTTGGAGAGATCAAAACTTCCCCATAATGGCCATTCAGGTTCTAAATTACTTTTAATTAAGTCAGTCAATTTAGTTAGAAATGGGCATGAAGAGAAACCACAGTTTTTAAACATAAAACCATCAAGGTCCCAGAAGGGATGCTGCCCCTTTTGATGACTGGGATCCCGTTTCTTAGAGGTTTCTCTAGACATAAAAAAGAAAAATTCCTAAACAGCACAGTTTCAACAGGGACATCCTGCTTCCAAAGGAATCAGACCAGAGGTCAGCACAGAACCAGTGGGAACAGCCCAGTTCTGGAAAGGAGGGGGACCAAACTAACACAGTTCCAAACCAGGCACAGTTCCAGCAGGAACCTTCCGGCTCCAAAAAGGAGTCAGACCAAAGGTCAGGCAAGCACTCTGAAAGGACAAAGCCTTAAATCAGAGCCCAAATAAAGCCTGGAGAGCTCAAAGCACAAAGACAGTAGAGCTCGAAGTCCAGGAGAGACTTAGCCTCCAACTCCAGGAATGGCCGGAAAGCAGTGAGCTTATCTGGCTCTGTGGGCCCTGGCCCCTGTTTGGTCACAGGCCTCAAAGTTGTTGGGGTTCATGGGGCACCTGGGTGGCTCATTTGGTTAAGCGTACGACTTCAGTTCTGGTCATGATCTCACGGTTTGTGGGTTCAAGCCCCGCATCGGACTCTGTGCTGACAGCTAGCTCAGAGCCTAGAGCCTGTTTCAAATTCTGTATTTCCCTCTCTCTCTGACCCTCCCCTGTTCGCGCTGTCTCTCTCTCTCTCTCTCTCTCAGAAATAAATAAAACATTAAAAAAAAATTTTTTAACAAGTTGTTGGGGTTCATTTCTGGATCCCACTTCTGATCACCAAGTAATGTTAGCCTTCAAAATGAAAGTTATTTTACCAGTAGAAATTGGTTTGTTTGGAAATGACAGAGAATTGCAATTTGGGACATGCAAGCTATGCCAAACCTTAGGCAAATCCCATAAACAAAGGAGAGAAGCATTTTATGGAGGAAAAGGAAGATGTTGGGAGGTGTTTTGAATGAAGGTCCAGTGTAGATAAGCAAGAGTTCAGAGAAATGGTTTTTCACTGGCTGAGTCGCAGAGGTAGTCAAGCTCTTGTAGAAGATTCAGTGCACATCTTTTCATGTTGGGGCCTATAATTGACCATTCTTTCTATAGTTGACATTGAGTGGTATGGCTCCCCCTTGTAACCTCCCTACTTTAATGAGGTTTCCCTGTATTCATTTTCACACTCTTTAACATCTGGCTTAATGGAGGGCAGCTGGATTCTCATACCTGTTTTGCAGTCTTGCTGTATCACTCAGCATGCAGCTTCTAGAAAACCTCACTGTACACGGCTCAGAATGAGAGTGGAAAAGTTGCAAATAATGGCTATTATTAGGAAAATAGGTTTAATCTCCTGGACGCCTCAAGTCCTCGGACCACACTTGAAGAACCATTGATCTTAAGTCAGATGGTGGGGGTGCCTGGGTGGCTCAGTAGGTTAAGCAGCCGACTCTTGGTTTCAGCTCAGGTCATGGTCTCCCTGTTTTGTCAGTTTGAGCTGGTCCTGTGCTGACCGTGCAGAGCCTCCCTCAGATTTTCTCTTCCACTCTCTCTCAGTTGTTTTAAGTTTTATTTGTACTAAAGTGTTATTTTCATCTTCTGAGTATTTGGGGGGATCTTAACTGTACTTCTCCTATCTCTGGTTACATTTTTAATGTCTCAAACGCTTAAGGGAAAAACAGAAATCAAATTACATTATTACATTGTAGTACCGTAGGTATCCTACAATTAGAAGTTTTGTCCACTGGGGGGAGCTAACAGTAAAGGATTTGGAAATGCTGGATTGGTGGGAGTATGAAGTACCTCGGTGGTAGAAGATAGGTATCAGTTTCACTGTGTATTTCAATGTATTTATAAACTAAGCTATCCCAGCCAAGCCAAGATGTACATATGCTAGACCAGATGTATGAAAGCTTCAAAAGAAGGGTACTTTAGAATTATTATCCGACTCTTAATTATAAAGAGACTTTTGCTCAGAAATGTTCAGGCAAAATATTATATTGAAGTACATTTAATCTATACAAACTAATGGAAGAATGAAGTCACGTATTTTTTTTCCTTGATGCCTACATGTTTATTTTTTATTTATTTATTTTAAAAATTTTAATTTTTGTTTATTTTTGAGAGAGACAGAACATGAGCAGGAAAGAGGCAAGAGAGAGAGGGAGACACAGAAGCAGGCTCCAGGCTCTGAGCTGGCAGCACAGAGCCAGACGTGGGGTTCAGACCCACGAACTATGGGATCATGACCTGAACCAAAGTCAGACACTCAACCAGCTGAGCCATCCAAGGCACCCTCTTTTTTTCCCCCACATATTTATATCATAGGTGTTCTTTTAATGTGAGAATTGCACATGTGTGTATGAGAGAGAGAGTTGGTTTTTGGTTTTTTTGAGTTATTTATTTTGAGAGAGAGCACATGCAGGGAGGAGCAGAGAGAGAATCCTAAGCAGGCTCTGGACTGTCAGTATAGAGCCTGACACAGGGCTCAAACCCTCAAACCATGAGATCATCCAACACCTGAGCTGAAATCAAGAGTCAGGCACTTAACCAACTGAGCCACCCAGGTGCCCCGAGAATTGCTTTTTTAAAAAAAGTTCTTAATTCCTGAGCTTTAAAAGATAGAGATTCTCTAGTATTTTGAGAGTCTCTTTTGATTATGAACTCTATTATTTTCCTCTTGTTTTTAAATGAAATATAATCTGGCATTTTAGTTACCCAGTGTCTTCATTTGAAATGAGATAACCCTTTATTTGAAGCATTGTACATCTTTTGATATTTTTAGTGGAAACTGTGGATGATTTAAGGACTGACTTTAATTTCTAACACGTACTCCCCTTTTTTTAGGGTTCAAGGAGTTTTTCTATAAGCAGTTCTAAGAGCAGTACAGCCAGAAATGGTGGCTTTCTCCTGTGAGTATATAATTGGATGTGCTAAACCAAATAAGGAAATGGGCTTTTGTGCTGCTTTACTTAGGTTTCTCTTTGTTTCCCCACATAGCAGTACCAGTATGAAGTGGGTGCAGTTTTCAAACCTACACGTTGATATTCCCAAGGATTTGACCAAGCCTACGGTATGTACTCTCTACTTCTTGGTAAGGAGCTATATTAGCAATACGTTTTCCTCATTACTTCATTTTGGGCTGTTTCCCAAACACTTTAGAGTAAAAATATTTTGTTTCCGAATACTGGCAGGTGCACAGTGTGCCTGAGTAAAGTACTCTCTTTACTGGGTGCTCATCTTTCAGAGAATCAGGGAATCAATTATTTACCCCAAATACCTATGGGAATAAGCAGCCTTTTGCTTTAGCTCAGCATAATGTGAAGAGTTGTCATAATTAATGATGCAGAATACTTGATATTGCATTAAGGAGATATTTTTTCTTTTAGGCATTCAGGTCTTTGTTTTCATGTTAAGACATTGAGCCTGGGCCTGGACAATCCTTTATTGTCCACAGTGAGAGAGAGCATTACCACAAGTAAAGAAAATCTAGCAGTAGCTGTGTAACCTTGTTTCCTTTAAATAAAAGTCAGGATTCTGTCAACCCAGTTCTTGTGTAAATGTGTGGTTTAAAAAATCCTTACAGGGGCGCCTGGGTGGCTCATTTGGTTAAGTGTCCAGCTTTGGCCCAGGTCATGATCTCACAGTTCGTGGGTTTGAGCCCCGCATCAAGCTCTGTGCTGACAGCTAGCTCAGAGCCTGGAGACTGTTTCGGATTCTGTGTCTCCCTCTCTCTCTGACCCTCCCCTGTTCATGCTGTCTCTCTCTCTCAAAAATAAATAAAAAACATTAAAAAAAAAAATTTTTTTTTAATCCTTACAAATCTGAAACCTTTCATTTCCACCCCTCAAAAGTAATCCCCTATAACAGTTTGTCACGAATCCTTCTAGACATTTGTCTGTATGTACTCATCTTGTCTGTGCACATGCACACCAAAGTGAAATGTCTTCTACATAACGTACTGCCCTTTTGATTTTTTTTTTTTCACTGAATAGATACTGGATATATTTCCATGGCAGCGCCTATAAACTCTGGGTCTCCAGGGCAGATGTTTGCGTGGGCCAGGCCTGTAAGGAAAGGTGGCAGCATGGGCACAGTGGCAGGCTGTGCCCTTTATAAGCAAGACAGCTGCTGCTTACTCCGGCCACTTGTTGCCATGTGGGAAATCAGACCTAGTGATGTCACATGGTCTCAGATTTTCCAAGCTAAACTGAAATCCAAATTTTTATTCAAACTCCATTGATTTTTTATATCACAGCAGATTTCAGACTCTCTTTAAAACCCTATAAGGACCAACCAAAAACACCTCTTAGAGCTGTTTTTCCTCTCCCTTGTCCCCTAGGTTATGGTATAGAATATTCGTGTACTCTGTTCTTCCCAGCAACCCTGACCTTGGAGATAATTGAGAGTAAATGTCTAGCTAGCCTCCTGGTTAGTGAGTAGATTTCCTTTGAGGAGTGAAGTAATTTAACCCTGAATCATTGGATTAGTAAGATAAATTACCGGTCTAATGGATGGATGAAGGTGAAGGGTAATTCACCCCTTGGAGGAAAGTCAGAAATGTCAAACCCATTATTCCTAAAATCTCTAAGCATTAGAATGGAAGAGGTACAAGTTAAATGCACAGTGCCTTAACATTTTAATGAGAAATGAGTAAAATTTTATTAGGATAGGCCAAACATACATGAATAAAACTAATAAAAAATATAAATAGTAATAGCTTGCCTCTGTAAAACGACGTTTTATAGCTTAGAAGCACTTTAATCTGTGTTTACATGTTAGCCCCCTCCAGAAATGCCATGCGTGGCGCTGTGAGGAGCCTGGGTACTATCCTGTTTTAGGCACGAGGAAACCGAAGTGCGGTGAGATAGTATGGCTTGCCCGTTGTCATTCAGCTCCAAGTGGCAGAGTTTAATTCTCAATTCAAGTCTTCTGACCTTCTGACCAGGCTGCTTGGTTAATAGACCCGATAATCCTTTCCCATGGTGTCTTTGGGGCTCAATATCTATTAAGTTAGCAGGTCTCATTAGTGATGGTGTTGGTTGCTTGGAAGTTCTTTTGATTTAAAGTATATTTTAGCAGATTGTAAGTGTCATTGTGGGGATCTGAATGTGTTAGTATCTAGATACTTTTAAGCTAACAGTATTAAGGTGTTACTCAGCATTTTTCTCCCCATTTATTAGTAAACTCTGAAAGTGTTCAATTGAGGATAATATATTAAATTTTCCCATTACAAATATTGGAGGAACTACAACTGAAACTTTTCTTTTTGATTTAAAAATTTTTAGATAACCATTTCTGATGAACCAGATACATTATATAAGCGCCTCTCAGTTTTAGTAAAAGGCCACGATAAGGCTGTATTGGACAGTTACGAATATTTTGCCGTACTTGCTGCTAAAGAACTTGGTATCTCTATTAAAGTGTAAGTATGCTCTTTCCTAATCTGACCTTTTAACTGGTCAACCAGGAAAATGGTTGCTCATCCCAACTAGGTGTAGCTTTTTTTTTTTTTTTGAGAGAGAGAGAGTGAGAGAGAACGTGTGGGGGGAAGGGGCAGAGAAAGATGGGAACAGAAGATCTGAAGTGGGCTTCATGCTGACAGCAGTGAGCCCAATGTGGAACTCAAACTCACAAACCTTGAGATCATGACCTGAGCTGAAGTTGGATGCTCAAGCCACCCAGGTGCCCCAGGTTTGAGCTCTTAAAATAGCATAGAACCTCATGATAGGTAGAGCGTAAGTTTGTTATATTATCCTAATCAGAATTCCTGTCTACTAGAATTTTTAAATATTAGGATGAGCAAACAAGAAAAATAGAGGAAATCCTTTCTTAGCAATTGCATAGACATAAGGAGAAGCCCTCATGTGTGGACTCTCCATGGGGCAGGGAGGTGTTTGGTGAACAAGCAGTCCTTTTATTTATTTATTTACTTATTTATTTAAATGTTTTATTTATTTCTGAGAGAGAGAGAGAGAGATAGCATGAGCAGGGAAAAGTCAGAGAGAGAGAGACACACACAGAATCCAAAACAGGCTCCAGGCTCTGAGCTAGCTGTCAGCACAGCGCCCAGTGTGGGGCTCGAACCCATGAACAGTGAGATCATGACCTGAGCCAAAGTCAGACGCTTAACTGACTGAGCCACCCAGGCGCCCCACAAGGAATCCTTTTAGACTCCTTGGATTTGCTGCTCTTTGTCTAATATAGCCATTATTTTAAAACTGCCTTCACAAACACTAGTCACCCAGTAATTTCATGCAGGAGTAAGAGAGCTTCATATAGCCTTGAAATCACTGCTAGATCAAGTAGAACTATAGTTGTCTCCCCCTTCCAAGACCCCCAGTGGATGCCTGAAACCACAGATAGCACTGAACCCTATATGTAGTGTTTTCTCCTACACGTATATACCTGTGAGGTTATTTATAAATTAGACACGTAAGGAATTAATAACTAGTAATGAAATAGAACAGTTGAGTAACAATATGCAGTAATAAAAGTTATGTGAACCTGCTGTCTCTCTCCCTCTCCGAATCTCTTATTGTATCGTACTCACCCTTGTGAGGAGATGAGACCATAAAATACCCACGTGATAAGAGGCACCTGGGAGGCTCAGTTGGCTAAACGTTCACCTCTTTATATCAACTCGGGTCATGATCTCATGGCCCATGAGACTGCGCCCGATGTCTGGCGCTGTGCTGATGGTGCGTGGAGCCTGCTTGGGATTTTCTCTCTCCCTCTCTCTCTGACCCTCCCCCACTTGTGTGCATGCGTGTTCTCTCTCTCTCTCTCTCTTCTCTCCCTCAAAATAAATAAATAAAACATTTTTAAAAATTGCCCACAGGATGAGAGGAAGTGAGGGGAATGATGTAGGCACTGTGATGTATGATGTAACATTAGGCTGCTGTTGACTTTCTGACTCCCCCTGAAGGAGTTCTCATCTGCTTCTGGACCACGACTGACCATGGGCAACTGAAACTGCTGAGAGCAAAACTGCGGATAAGGAAGGGGTGATTCCCGCAACCCTCTTCTCTCATCACCTGCTCCTGATGCTAAACAAGGCCCGTTTGCGGCTTTGCTGGTCTTGCCTTATAACAAAACAGAAGGAACCCACACGTTTCCATAACAGACTTTAGTTTTGTGATTATCAGTATCTCTGCAGATTTTTCTAAAACAATACACATACGGCAGCACACGGCTGCTACTCCTCACAGTTCGTGTGTTTGGTCAGAAAGGGAGTTCGGGGCTGGAAAAGCCGCAGGTGCACTTGTGTGCCCTTGCATGCCAAGGCTCAGTTTTGGGTCTGTGGAATAATCTTCCCATCGCTGCCTGCAGTGTTTGTTTTGGCCTGAGCTCTATGACAGCGGTTGTTACACAGAACATTTTTGACAAATGGAAGTCTGTAAGTGGTAACTAACACCTGTAATCGAGTATGAGCCTGACCTACAGAATTGTGCAACCCTGCTTTGATATCAGTGACTCAGGTTTTAACATCACTTAGCTTAAGCATGTTGTTTCGCCCATTAATTTTTCAGACATGAGCCTCCAAGAAAAATAGAACGATTTACTCTTCTCAAATCTGTGCATATTTTCAAGAAGCACAGAGTTCAGTATGAAATGAGAACACTTTACAGATGTTTAGAGGTGAGTTTATTTCAGACATTCAAGCATTTCTGAAATGTCTGGAATTTCACACTAGCACAGTGTTAACTTTCCTTTGATGTTGACCTTTCAGTCAGCCCATGACTGATAGGAGAGAAGGTAAATGATAGGAAATCAGACTCCAATAAACCATCCTGAAGAGCAGTTCATACTTTAAGTAGTGCAGATTATGCTAATTTTCAGACAATAATATGGCCTTGGAATAATTTTGTTTATATTTCAAAACTTCTAGTTACGTTTTTATATACTTCCAGTGATCCTTTGTACACGCTGACTGGGTTTTCCATGTCCGTGATAGGCAACATTAAGGTTTTTCATTCATCTGTTACTCATTTGTGCATCCACTAGGGTCAGCATAGTCTTGTGGTTAAGGAGAGTGAGCGTTCTGGAATCAGATCCAAGTACTGGCACATACCAGTTGTGTGCTCTGTACCTTAGTTCTTTCATCTGTAGAATGAGAGTAACGTACTCATCTTATAAAGTTAGTGAGAGGATAAAATGAGATGTTTATCTAAAGCACTTAGAATACCCCCTTCAATTAGTAAGTGATTAATACAGTAAAACCTTGGATTGCGAGTAACTTGTTCTGCAAGACGAGCAAACATTTCTCATAAATTTTAACTTGATAAATGAGCGGTGTCTTGCACCACAAGTCATACATGATGCTGAACATCACATAATCACAACTGAGCCAATAGCTTTTCTCTCTCTCTCTTTGTCTCTCACTGCGGGATGGTGGGTGATCATCTCCCATGTTCGGATGCTAGGTTTCAGGCTGCGGTGTTGGGCAGAAATCAGTGATTTATCAGAACGTTGGAAGGTGCTCACAACTGGCACTAGTGTATGTTTTGTCACCTCAGAGCACCTATGGACAGTCCTTTGCTCTTCCACACAAGAGGAAGCTTAGGAATGCTTTGCTTTATTCTAGGGTAGGCTGCTGCAGATACGGACCCTTTCCTCTGCTGCCTTATTGCCAGTTCCATTAAATACAGTAGATGACAAGAGTTTATTAATACTGTGATGTAGTCAACATCCGCACGAGTGTATACAATGGCCCCCATGCAGAAAAAGATTCCACTGAGCCAATAGATAGCAGTGATTCTGTTAGTGATAGTGACAGTCATCCTGCACCCTCCTCTCTCTCGTCTCCCTCAAAGGTGTTCAAAGGTAAGTGCAGGTTAATTTGTTTATTTTTCATTATATTTTGTATTTCCTTTATCATGTTGTATTATATTACAGTATTGTAATTATTTTTATATGAATATTTTGAGGCAAAACAAATCGTGTGAGCTTCCATTATTTCTTATGGGGAAAATTCACTTTGATATTCAAGTGCTTTGGATTACAAGTATGTTTCCAGAACAAATTCTGCTCGAAAACCGAGGTTTTACTATAACTTACTGAAACAAATACAGGTATACTGTTTTAATACCATGCTTGTCAGCTGGGCTCCCTAGAGCCCTGGTTTTAAGGTGGTCTGTGTATACTCCCCTCTTCGAGTCAACTAGGGGATCCACACTCTTTTCCTTTTAAATTGGAATTCTGGGTAAGATTTCACAGAGAAAGAAAAGGCTGTTCTGCTTTTACTTAAAAACAGAAACTTAACATTTCTGCTTTAGCGGCATATCGTGAACCAATTTCATGTTTGAATTTTTAGTTAGAACATCTAACTGGAAGTACAGCGGATGTCTACCTGGAATATATTCAGCGAAACTTACCCGAAGGAATTGCCATGGAGGTTATAAAGGTATGACTTGAATTTCTGCCTCTGCTGGAGAGGGGCCCGGCTTGTTTTGCTACATCGCAGGCCTGTCTTGGCGCACCGAATGGAGGGGAAGGCCCGTCGTGGGCCTGGAGTCAGAGCTGCCGCGGTGGCTGGGGTCTCTGCCTCCCCATTGCAGCGGTGACAGCTCAGCAGATCCCGCCACCACATCCACCTCCTCCCGGACCACCTCTGGAGTCCTCTGCCCCCTTAGCGGTTGTTTAGGCCTGGGGTCCGTGTTGATTGGCAGTGTCCCTGGAGATCACCCGGGATCAAATCGACCGTTTGAGAGACTGGTTTATATCCATCCAGTCTCCTTCTGTCTGTTTCAGAACCCTACAAAGGATGAGGGGGGTAAAAGGAAAAAAGAAGGCAACAGGACTTGAGGGAACAAAATGTATCCATTTGTGACTAAAGAATTGGGTTAAGTCTGCATTGTGTTATAGTTTTGTTTTTCTCTTTTTAGACAAAATTGGAACGGTTACCAGAGCACATCAAGGAGCCAATCTGGGAAACGGTACCAGAGGAAAAAGTAGAGAGCAAGTCCTAAAGTTTCAGCCAGTCCACTTGTGCCGGCCTGTGACCCACGGGGGGGGGGGGTCAGACATGTACGTTGAAATAGAGGCTTCCAGTGGGAGTGACCATGAGTCCACCTGACCGCTCTGTTGAGCCCCCGTGCACTGATCAGCTCAAAGCAGGGCTGAAACTTTAATGACAGACACACTGGACCATAGTGAAAACCACTTCACCTACTCTTCTGTACACATTGTTTCAGATCCGATTTCAACAAATGTGAGCAAGCCCCTTTGACTACTGTGCACCAAAAGAATCAGGTTTCTATTTTGTCATTCTGTTCTAGTTCAGTTTTTAGTTTGCACTGATACCATTTCATTTGTCTGAATGTTTGAAATACTCCTTACGCACATTTTTTTCTTTTCAGCTTCTTAGAAGGAACCTTCAGTTAATTAGGTTAGTGTAACAGTGAACTGCCGAACAGTTAAAGTTTTTGATACTTACCTATTGGAAGCTGGCAGTTCCTAGTGTGGAGGTGGTGATCTCCGAATTTTACCTCATTTCAGCGGGACATTCTTGAAAATGAACGTACTGTGCAGCAGACCACGCACATTCGTGGCACACAGTAAGCTTCTTGTCGCCCAAACCTTTGCCAGGCTGCCAGGAAGGAGCACTGTCATGGGATTTGAGCTCTCAAGAAATGACTGTCTGCCTCACTTTTTTCCTCCTGTGATTTGTCCATTCGACAGGCTTATATTTTGTTAGCTCTGTAACCAGCGCTGTAGTCAGTACCAAACATTGAGTGGAAATAATGGCTTGTGAAAGCTGTGCAGGTCACGGATAAATATTTTTCCTTATTAGGTCCCACACTGATAAGTCCTCCTTCTTTTAATAAGTGGCATTCCTTTTGTTTGGAGATGTCTACTTTTCCATGAAATTAAACTGTAGTGAAAGCCCTGAAAGAGGCAGGACTACAATGCGCTAAAAGTGCTGGCGTGTCACCCCCAGGGAGTGATTCGTTTCCTTTCTGCAGCAGAATCAGGTCCGTGTGTTTTGCGGTTTCCTTCACATCTGTGGGGGTAGTTATGAATTCTCAGTTTTTTCCCCCCCTTAAACTTAAACTGGAGTCCCTGTTCTCTTTTCCCTGACTTGCTATCGGGTGTCGGTGTTTTGAATGCATACTGCTTATGTATCAGACTTCCATTACTATCATTAACATGAAGAGAATTACAGCCATGTGCCCTGTGGCCTCACTCAGCTCACTCCGTTGTTGCCCATGTCATTCACAAATGCCTAAAACATGCTTATCCTGGCTATAAGCCTCGGGATTAAGGACTAGTCGATAAAACAAGAGCGATTCAATGGAAGTATATCTTCAAAGCAGCAATCTGTGACCCATTTTTACTGTAAAAGAAAAAACTCCTTAAAAATAAATACATATCCACATCTAAGCTTTTTCACAAACAGTATTAATCACTGTATCACAAGATGATTTATGCAGACTTGCTTCCAGGGACTCTACATGTGAGTTCCTTTAAACACGCGCAACTGTTTTCAGACTGAATCATAAACCAGATTACTTGGCACTTCAAATTATACATTAAAATCTTGTTTTAAGGTGAATATACAAATAAACTACACACACAGCAAAAACTGGTGATATTTCTTTGACAAAAGCGGTTGACGTATTTGAAGCCGATTTCCTGATAGAAACGAGGATTTCTTCATCCTCATAGACTGAGAAATTCTTTTTTTTTTTTTAGTTGGGTCTCCTGAGCAAAATGCGTGTTCTGAAAATTAGTATTAATGCCCCCCAAATACCACTGTTTTGTCCATGTCGGGAAGGAAGGTAATGAGAAAAATGGATCTGATGTAATGAACCGGAAGGCACGCAGGAAGTGAGGTTATTTTTTTTTTTACTGAGGTATGACCCTTGAGTTCATTGTTGGTATCTCTGATCTGAAATGTATTTTCTTTTCATATTAAAGAAAATAATGTTATGGTCTGTTTAAAATTACTGGTAGACCTCCACAGATGAAACCCATTCAGGGCTTAGTCCTGATGCTTTCAAAGTAAATCACGTCTGTGTTCCTTTGGCCACTTAGACATGCCACAGTAAGTACAGACAGCAAATTGGGGCGCCCGGGTGGCGGTCGGCTAGGAGTCCGACTTCAGCTCAAGTCATGATCTCACAGTTCTTGAGTTCCAGCCCTGCGTTGGGCTCTGTACTGACAGCTCAGAGCCTGGAGCCTGTTTCGGATCGGATTCTCTGTGTGTGTGTCTCTCTCTGCCGCCCCCACCCCCCACCCCCGCTCATGCTGTCTCTCCATCTCTCAAAAATGAATAAATACTAAAAAAATATATATATATATTTTTTAAGTACAGACAGCAATTCTCTTAAGTCAGTAGTCTAACTTATTAACACTTCTATTTGTTAAAGCTACCCTTCTTCTTTCCTGCATTATATTATTTAGTTTTACCGCAACATTAAAGAGTAGCAGAGTAGAGAAAACACAGACTTTGAAGTCAGGCCTGAGTCAGATAAGAGTTCAAAGCTAACTGATGTAAACTTGGGTGGGATACTTCACCCTGTCAGAGCCTCTGTTTACACATTAGTAAAATGTAGGAAACCTCCTACTCACTGAGGTTGGAGTATTAAATTAGATAGCTTATAAAGCACCTCACACCGACGTGGGCAGATAATAGACTGACTAAATAATAGCCAGTAGTGGAGGCAGTACAAATTTGGTGCTACTCCAGACGCTTATGTGCTGGATGCACTGTTCAAACACCAGCCAGAAAAGACCTCGGGATATCTCTCGGGTGTGGACAACACTTAGATCAGCTGCGACCTTTTATTTACTTATTTACTTACTGAAGTTGATGCGAAGTTTAATGGAGATGAGAAAACACATAACATGCTTATTATAATCACCATCACACTTATGCCAAGCGTTTTACATAGTCATTTACAGATGCTCTCTTAATTCATCTTTGTAACAACCCAATAAAGTAGTTATGATGATTATCTCCATTTTACAGGGCAGAAAACCAAGTTATGACTAGCCCATTCAGTCACCCTCCGGTTTACAGGTAAAGCAGAGACAAAAAAGGTGGAACTGCTTTGTGTGCCAGTTGGAGGCAGGGACAGCCCAGAGCTTCATTTCCAGAGGCTAAGGGGTACTCAGAAGTCCACGGATTTTTTTCTTTTCAATGTTTATTCACTTATTTTTGAGAGAGAGAAGGAGAATGAGTATGAATGAGGGAGGGAGAGAGGGAAACACAGAATCCAAAGCAGGCTCCAGGCTCCGAGCTGTTAGCACAGAGCCCGACGCGGGGCTTGAACCTANACTGAATCATAAACCAGATTACTTGGCACTTCAAATTATACATTAAAATCTTGTTTTAAGGTGAATATACAAATAAACTACACACACAGCAAAAACTGGTGATATTTCTTTGACAAAAGCGGTTGACGTATTTGAAGCCGATTTCCTGATAGAAACGAGGATTTCTTCATCCTCATAGACTGAGAAATTCTTTTTTTTTTTTTAGTTGGGTCTCCTGAGCAAAATGCGTGTTCTGAAAATTAGTATTAATGCCCCCCAAATACCACTGTTTTGTCCATGTCGGGAAGGAAGGTAATGAGAAAAATGGATCTGATGTAATGAACCGGAAGGCACGCAGGAAGTGAGGTTATTTTTTTTTTTACTGAGGTATGACCCTTGAGTTCATTGTTGGTATCTCTGATCTGAAATGTATTTTCTTTTCATATTAAAGAAAATAATGTTATGGTCTGTTTAAAATTACTGGTAGACCTCCACAGATGAAACCCATTCAGGGCTTAGTCCTGATGCTTTCAAAGTAAATCACGTCTGTGTTCCTTTGGCCACTTAGACATGCCACAGTAAGTACAGACAGCAAATTGGGGCGCCCGGGTGGCGGTCGGCTAGGAGTCCGACTTCAGCTCAAGTCATGATCTCACAGTTCTTGAGTTCCAGCCCTGCGTTGGGCTCTGTACTGACAGCTCAGAGCCTGGAGCCTGTTTCGGATCGGATTCTCTGTGTGTGTGTCTCTCTCTGCCGCCCCCACCCCCCACCCCCGCTCATGCTGTCTCTCCATCTCTCAAAAATGAATAAATACTAAAAAAATATATATATATATTTTTTAAGTACAGACAGCAATTCTCTTAAGTCAGTAGTCTAACTTATTAACACTTCTATTTGTTAAAGCTACCCTTCTTCTTTCCTGCATTATATTATTTAGTTTTACCGCAACATTAAAGAGTAGCAGAGTAGAGAAAACACAGACTTTGAAGTCAGGCCTGAGTCAGATAAGAGTTCAAAGCTAACTGATGTAAACTTGGGTGGGATACTTCACCCTGTCAGAGCCTCTGTTTACACATTAGTAAAATGTAGGAAACCTCCTACTCACTGAGGTTGGAGTATTAAATTAGATAGCTTATAAAGCACCTCACACCGACGTGGGCAGATAATAGACTGACTAAATAATAGCCAGTAGTGGAGGCAGTACAAATTTGGTGCTACTCCAGACGCTTATGTGCTGGATGCACTGTTCAAACACCAGCCAGAAAAGACCTCGGGATATCTCTCGGGTGTGGACAACACTTAGATCAGCTGCGACCTTTTATTTACTTATTTACTTACTGAAGTTGATGCGAAGTTTAATGGAGATGAGAAAACACATAACATGCTTATTATAATCACCATCACACTTATGCCAAGCGTTTTACATAGTCATTTACAGATGCTCTCTTAATTCATCTTTGTAACAACCCAATAAAGTAGTTATGATGATTATCTCCATTTTACAGGGCAGAAAACCAAGTTATGACTAGCCCATTCAGTCACCCTCCGGTTTACAGGTAAAGCAGAGACAAAAAAGGTGGAACTGCTTTGTGTGCCAGTTGGAGGCAGGGACAGCCCAGAGCTTCATTTCCAGAGGCTAAGGGGTACTCAGAAGTCCACGGATTTTTTTCTTTTCAATGTTTATTCACTTATTTTTGAGAGAGAGAAGGAGAATGAGTATGAATGAGGGAGGGAGAGAGGGAAACACAGAATCCAAAGCAGGCTCCAGGCTCCGAGCTGTTAGCACAGAGCCCGACGCGGGGCTTGAACCTACAATCTGTGAGATCATGACCTGAGCCAAAGTTGGATGCTTAACCGACTGAGCCAGCCAGGCGCCCCTAAGCTTATTTATTGATCCTGAGAGAGAGGGAGAGAGAAAGAATCCCAAGCAGGCTCCACAGTCAGCGCAGAGCCCATTGCAGGACTTGAACTCGTGAACTGTGAGATCATCACCTGAGCCGAAATCAAGGGTTAGCCACTTAACCACCTGAGCCACCTAGGTGCCCCTCAGATGTCCACATATTAAGTGCAGAATATTCAGACCTAAAATCCAGATTTACCTCTTCTTGCACATTAGCAGAATATACTCATTTCCCCTACAGCTTAGAAGTACAAAGAGATTGACTAGGGGGGAAAACGTCTAAGGAATAAAAGACATAAATGTGTATGAATAAAGGCAAGGAGCATAATACACATTGCAGTCCTTATGGCCTCGGGGCTGACGCTAGACCTAAGTGTCCAAGGGGGAACAGGAGAGTTGAGGTTTCAGAACCTGGCGTGGAGACGATTTACATTTGGCTTTGGGCCAGGGCTCAGCAGACTGGTTTGTTGCTCTCAAACATTTCCCTCCTCCAGGAGCCAGGCTTATAGCTGACCACCCGTGATCCCCAGGGTTCTCTGTGCAAATTCCTGCTCAGTTCCTAACCCTGCCCTCCTTAAAGCCTTGCTATTATTACTCACTTCCGGCTATCATTTCTCCATATGGCTCCTAATCCTCTTTAAAATGATATATTTATATCTCAATAGCTCAGCAGTAAGGGCAGGTCATGGGCAACTGACCCACATGAAAAGCCAATTGGATTTTAGATTCCTTGGCCAGAGGCTAAATCAAGTTCTCTT